GACTCACCAATGGTTTCTACCATTCCAGCCTCCTGTGGAAAACTCAGGCTAACAACAACAACAACAAAAACCCATAATTTAAAAATGCATTGCAAAACCTGGCCCCAAAAAAGAGTTATGAAAAGGTGCTTCTCTTCTTTGCAGAGGTGGGGGACTATGGGTGTGAAACATTATGGACAATGTCAGAATTTTTCACGGCATTGGTTATTTTTGCTGAACTATTTTAAAAATCTTTTAAAAATTCCTTTTATTGCTTTCTGGGAAGGGAAAGGGGAGTGATACTTTGGAAATTGTAGATGATGTAAAAACAAAAGGTACCGCTCAAAATTTATATTTAAAAAAAAAGACAAAATGGTTAAGAGAAACATTCTCAGATCAAGGGGCAACTAAGTCATATAGTGAATATTCATAAGGGTTTACATTTTCTGGGGTGTGTGGGGGAGGGTGGAGGAGGGAGGTAAAGAGTCAGGCAACATAAAAACTCCCCCAGAGTGCTGTCCATTGTACCACCCGGATGCCCTCAGGCACTCAGATCCCATCTCTATCTCTCCTTCACTGGGTGCTGGTCAAGAGATGTCAGACAACTTGGTTTTCAGCTTCTCCCTTCAAGGATTTCTAGTTCACCAGTGGACTAGATCAATAGAACTAGACCAAGTTCTTAATCTTGGCTCAGTGAATTTGTTTTTTAAAGTGTTTTGGGAACTGCGTTTCAATATAACTGATTTCCTTTGTAATCCTATGCATTTGATATTATATATTTATATATTTATTTCAAATTATTTAATTATCATTTTAAATTTAATTATAATTTAAAATTAAAATTATAAACATATTTATATATATTTTATATATTTAAAAAACACGATTCTGAGAAGGGATTCATAGACTTCCCCAGATAGTTAAAAGGCTAGGAACCCCTGTTCTAGAAGAATCCTTGATGACGCTGACAGTACCTGCAGACCTTCAGCCACATAGAAACTACTGAGCACCTGTGTGGCTTTGAGCAAGTCACGACCACTCTGAACCTCAATGTCCTATTCTATAAAATGAGGCATTTTGACTAAATCCAGAGTTCTTGCCCTTTGGGCAGCCTGGTGAAACTGAAGAAGCCCTTCCCAGAATAATGTTTTTAAATGCATAAAATAAAGCACACAGTATTTCAAAAGAAACTCAGTGAAAATAAAGATGTAATTTTTTTCAGATCCAAGTTCACCAACCCCCTGAAATATATTCACAAACTCGGTGGCCACCAGGTAAAGAATCCCTGCTACCTGTGGATAGTAAATTAAGAACGCCTACTCTTAAAGTCCCTTTTGGCTCTAAAGTCTATGATGCTACACTCTCTCTGGGTCTCAGCTTTTTTCTCTGTAAAATAAGTGTGTGCATATGTGTGTGTGTGTGTGTGTGTGTGTGTGTGTGTGTGTATGGGGTGGGGGAGGAGGCTTCCCTTGATAATCTCTAAGGCTCCTTCCAGCTTTAAGATATTGTGGGAATGTGACTATGAATGGAAAAGAATCAGAGCCACAAGCGGCAATTGTTGTACTTGGGCACAGTGACCCTGTCTGTGCCCTCAGTTCAGTTAGCCAGTGCTGGAGGAATAGGGGGACAGAGAGGGGTGGGGCTGGAAGGAGCTCATCCGGGGTGTAAAAAGTGGACCATCTGCTAGCTTCCTATTTTAACTGATTATCCTTGCTCAGTTCATTTGTTTCTACATTGCTGAAGGACTCCAAGTGCTAAGAATGGCCTCTAAATATGGCCACCCTAGGCACAGCCCCATTTGCCATGCCCTAGTTATGGCTTTGATCAACCTCTGCACGTCATAAAAGTGACCACTGCTCTCAACTTCTGACTGAACCAAGCCGATTGCCTGGGCCCCATGAAGCTGAGTCCCTGCCAGTTGCCATGTAGGGCCTGAACAATGCACATCATAGTACTGTCTGATAAATGGTGTGTCTCCTCTATTATCTATTTCCTCACCCTCATGGCTGGGAAGGCTGTCTCTGTGAGATTAGATCATCCATTGAAAATAACTCTGCTCAGCCGTGCTCGCAGAGCGCCAGCACCATGCTGATTAGCTGCGGGGGGAATTCAGCCCCTTAAAGGTTCCAACATGGGAAGAACAGATCTAGGGCCCCAGCAATTCATGGCTGTTGGTTCAAGGTTTGGGGCTTTTTAAAAAAAAATCCTTTTAAAATCTGTAACTAGGAAAGGGCCAAAAGCCATCTTCGTAATAATGGATGATGGCCTTAGACTTCATCTGACTGATTCCCATGGAGAACCTGAGCTTCCCAGCCATCAGAATTTGCCTCATGGGCCTGAGCTGAAGTCTCATGTAACACTCCCTACTCTGGGCTGCTAGGATCAGAGTTAGGGCAGCAATGTGGTACAGGGGATAAAGCCCCAGGCCTGGGATCAGGAAGAAATCAGTTCAAATCTAGCCTCAGACACTTACTAGCTGTGTGACCCCGGACAAGTCACTTAACCCTGCTTGCCTCAGTTTCCTCATCTGTAAAATGAGCTGGAGGAGGACATGGAAAACCACTCCAGGGTCTTTGACAAGAAAACCCCAAATGGGGTCAGGAAGAGCTGGACAAGACTGAACAGCAAAAGGGGTAGGGTAGCTGAGCGGTTGCACACAAGGCATGCAGACTTTCATGTTTACAAGATTGTTTTTCCTGCAGTATTTTATCCTGCTATGCTGTGATGCCTTGAATTTCGGAAACCTGAAGGAAGTTTACATTTTGCCTGGAGAATGGCAGGATTCTTGATGGGGTGAGAGAACACCCCTGCCTAATGGGCACACACTGAAACGTTACCACCCCTCCCTTCTCCTGCCCCTGCCTTGTCTTCTGGGTGTGGAAGGTTTTGGTTCTTGTTTTAAGCTTCACGGTGCCTCCCCTCCCCCCAAAAGAGGCAAATAGCTTGCTCTGTTCATTAACTTTCATGGTTGCGTGACATTGAATTCCATTTCTGTTAGGAGATTTTCATTCTGAAATTGTAGTCTGCCTTCCTGAAAACCCATTTCTCTTCCTGAATGATGGACAGGGACAGAAAGAACCCGGTGGAAAGAAGGGTCAAAACCTCCCTTTCCTGGTGCAGGGGGTGAGGTGCTGGTTCTGGAGACAGGTGCCCTGGTCCCACCATGATGCTTTTGTCTTTGCACCTCCAGCCTGGCCCGGGCATGACACTTAGTGGGTGAGCATTTAACAAGTGCTTATCAATTGCTTGATTGATTGACTAATCATTACCTATGTGATCTTGGGCAAGTCACTTGATTTCCCTGGGCCTCAGTTTCCTCATTGGTAAAATGTGAGAGTTGGTCAAGATGACCTGAGAGGTCCCTTCCAGTTATAGGTCTATGAGACCTTGGACAACCTTCTTGGGCCTCAGTTTCCTCATTTGTAAAATGTGGCAATCAGACCAGATGGCCTTGGAAATCTACATAAGAGGATGGATCCATCCTTTCACTGGGACAAGAGTCCACAGGTAGCTCTGCAAGGAGACAGTGTCAGAGGTCAAAGCATGTGTCAGGGGTCACATGGGCCTTGTGGGCCTCCTTTGTGTTTCCTAGTCTGAAATTTCATAGGATCATAGGTCTAGAGGGAAGAGACCTTCAAGATATTTAGACTTGTTGTTGTTGAGTTGTTTTCACTCATGTCTGACTCTTCATGACCTCTACCCCTTTTTTTGGCAAAGATCTTGGAGAGGTTTGCCATTTCCTTCTCCAGCTCATTTTCCAGATGAGGAAACTGAGGTATGCAGGGTTAAGTGACTTGTCCAGGGTCACCTAGCTAGTAAGTATCTGAGGCTGGATTTGAACTCAGGTCTTCCTGCCTTCACTCCAGCTACTGTGCCACCTAAATGCCCTTACTTAGACTTACCCCTCATTTTACAGATAACCTGAGGCCTAGCTTGCTCAAAATCCCAGAGAGATTGAGGAACAGGATTGGGATTTGAATCCAGGTTCTCTGACATCAAATTCTCTGCTCTATGCCCTGTCAAATTATCATCCAGTTCACAAAGTGCCTGTCAAAGTTGGTCCCCTGAGGGTTTGTTTGCTGGGTAAAAGAAGTGAAAAGAAGCTAAAGTGCTAAAGTTGGTTCTCCCTGGAGCTCAAAGGAAGGCGCACAGGACCATTCGTGTACCCAACTCCAGGGCATTTGGTGCATTGTAAACTGTATGCCCAAATGCCCTCTGCGTGGCTCAGGTGAGCATTTATGTGAAAGTTACCGACCTTTCCCTTCTCCTTCCCAACCCCCATTAATCAACTGAGAAAAGCCAGCGTCTCCCACTGCGTCCCAAGCCAACGCCAGTCATCCTG